TCACGAGCACTGGAGCACTTACATATCATGAGTTTGTATTGTAACAATGCATTGTTTTTTATATTATTTCATTTAGATTTTTGCAGATGCTGCTCATCCTCTCAGTTATAAGTTGCTAGTGCCCATTCTCTCCAGAGGAGTGTCATGTGGAGGCAAGCAGCCCCATATGCTCCTTGTTTTACAGTTGATCTAACACATGCTAACACTGCAGGCAATTGTTGCTACTGTGCGTAACTTTGGATAATTTTTTTTGTGCTTTCGAAACAATGAAAAAAGAATGGGGAGACATTCCCATCAGCCTTGTAACAACAGCAGCTCACAGAAGGGCGTCTCAGGCCTGCAGCATGTACGTCAGAGGGGAAAAAAGACTGGCATCTCACACAGAATTAGACAGCGTGTAAAACTAAAATCCTCTCTGACTTGGCAGTCTCTAATGTAAATGACATCAAACTGCTCAAAGCACAATCCAGCAGAGAACTGCTCTGGCAATGCAACTATAAAGTTGAACAAACAGGTCTGTTGGTGGATATCTGTTTAGCTTGTATAGCAAAATTATCGACATATTATTTATGCGTAGAGTCACTTTTTTAGGGTTACTTTTTATTAACGAATTGTGAAAAATGAACAGAATAAGTACAAACAAGTGACAAATAATGACATACTAAACCCACAGAGTGACAAACCATCACAAATGAAACCCATAACCAACAGAAGAAGGACAAATGAGATCTCTGTATAATTTAAAATCTTCTCCTAGACAGCAATGAAATTAAATGGAGTGCAATTGAAAAAATAGATTTTTGCGTAAATCTCCTAAAAAAAGACTCTTTCTTCAGAGATCGCTTTGTTCGGATTTGCAGAAGATACAAAAGTCTACAATTTTCAGAACCAAATATGCAATTATCTGACCATTACCCACATAATAATAATAATAATTATTATTTTATTTTGTTTTTTTAAACCTTCACTCTGTTGACAACGGCATAATTTGTACTGTATCTATTTTTATTTCTCAAATTTCAGGAGAAACATCAGGCAAAGTTGATACTTAAAGAGATATTTCACCTAAAAATGAAAATTCTGTCATAATTTACACACCTTCATGTTGGTCCAAACTATTTTGAAGAGTGTTGGTAACCAAACAGTTCAGGTTACGGACAAAAAAAAAAAGACATTCCTCAAAAGTACCTTCCTTTTATGTTTCACAGAGGAAAGTCATAAAAGTTTAGAGCAACATGAGGATGTGTAAATGACGACAGAAGTGTCATTTTTGGGTGAAGTAGCCATTTAATTAAACATAAACAAGAACCAAGCAATAGAATTGCCTATGGGAATACATGGGATTCACTGAAAGATGCTTCCTTTCCAAAAACCTTTCCTTTTATCATAGGATAGACTCAAAATTAATGCCATGACCTCCAAATACATCTTCTCTTTTCTTTTTCCATTAATTTTCTTTCTCCCATTTCATACATGTGAGATTACCCTCCATTATGCTGTAGATAAGCTACGCTGCAGAATTGTGGATGCCATTAAAGCTCTCTGACATCACCCAAACTTTATCCTCTTAATCGTAGGCTCAGCGCACCGAGTTTAAAAGCACTAAAATCTCCTACACACACACAGAGATCACTCAAACTACTTACACACAATACACAAAGGATCTTATTCTTTAGCCCTGCGCTTTGAGGAACCTGACCCTCAAATCTAACTTTGTCAGACACAATCGCCAAGATCGCCAAACAATTACAAACAAAATACGGCTCAACAATGAAACTAATAACATTTGACTTAAAGTGGGGTTTAAAGGGGTCATATGATGTGATTTCTATTTTTCCTTTTCTTTAGTGTGTTATGTAGCTATTTGTGCATGTATAAGATCTGCAGAGTTACAAAGCTCAAAGTCTCCCACAAAAGGATTTATTCTATCTAAAAGAGAAGGCTGATCCAGACCGGGCTAAAACGCCTCATTCAAACACGCCCCCACATCTCTACGTCACGATGTGGAAATATTTGCGTAATGCCGCCCAAATGTTCATGCAAAGAAAGAAGGCGTGGCTTCAGGAACCACAGTAGTGTTGATGCAACCATGTCAGGGAGACGCTGTGTGTTTGGCCTTCCGAAAGTAGATGTAATGAGGAATCATTGGTTAAGATTTATTTACAACAGAACAGCACAACCCAGATGTTCTAATTTGTGCAACGCATTTTATGGATGACAGTTCTGTGAACCTAGGAGAGTAGCCTACAAGGCTGGCTGTGCAAAGGCTATTTCTAAAAAAATGGGTCAATTCCGACTTTGCTATGACAATCTGGCACTTATTCTGAATCAGCTACTGTAAGTATGTTTTCTTAATAGTTTAAGGATTTGCTATTGACTGTTCAAATGCGGAGTTTTGCGCCGTGTAGAGTATCGCGTCGTGCGTGTGCGTGAGAGAGAGACAGGGTCACCTCACAGTGATGCGGCAATAAAGACAATAAATTGTGTTCCGAAGACGAACTAAGCTTTTACTGGTTTGGAACGACATGGGGGTAAGTGATTAATGACAACATTTTCATTTTGGGGTGGAGTAACCCTTTAATCGCGGCTTGTGTACTGCAAATACATATACGAGCATCATCACTGTGTCTGTCACGCAACTCTGTTCCCCTTTCGGGCTTGAACTGATGGTAAAACTAAGGACATTATGTACTGGCTTTACATTTATGTTGGAAAGCCGAAGCTCGCGATTATGGAAAGGGGCGTTAAATTTCCGACGCATGCGTGTGGTGTTCGGCCAATCACAATGCACTGGGTCAGCTGGCCAATCAGAGCAGACTGTGCTTGTCGGAAGGAGGGAAAATAATGTGTTTTTTGAACATTAAAGGATGTCAACATATTCTGTTACACCAAATACACCAAATAATTATCTTTAAAATAGCATCATATGACCCCTTTAAAGGGCCCTTGTATTCACTCTCTTAGGACTGTTGAGAGTGTTAGATGATCTGTGGATCAGCAAATATTAAAATGAAATAAATTTGATTTGTGCAGCTCAGTATGAAAAGAAAAAAAAACTAAAAAGAGATTTTAGCTTTCTATCAGCCAAAGTTCAACCATGCAGTTAAAATTCATGCATGAGTTTGGCTACGTAATTCATCAGCACAAGCACTGAAGCTTCAACACTCGAAGGTGCATTTTAGAAGCTGATTACAAACTCTGTCTGTGTAATGAAAGAAGTTGGGTTTGATGTACCTCAGAAAAGGCATTTGGATATTAAAATTAAAGGGATTCACTAAAAAATTAAAATAATGTAATTATTTACTTGTCCTTATGTCGTTCCAAACCTTTATGAATTTCTTTAACTAAACAAAGGTGAATTTTTGACAAATACACTTTTTTTGTTTTTCATTAAAGGGGTCATATGACGTTGCTAAAAAGAACATTATTTTGTGTATTTGGTGTAATGCTTATGCCCCTTACCATACTGTGATGCCATTTTCCGGCGCGACAAGACAAAAACATTAAACCCATTATAAACGAGGCATTTGTTGCATTCAGTGGGGACATAATTACGGATTATAATGACTTATATTGTCTTTTTACGCGTTGCGTTGCGTATCGCGCCGCGTAAACATAAAACCATTTGTCTGCATTTGTGATCGGAGAAACGACAAACAACAAGCACTACTCTACACTGCTCAAAACTCGCGTTTGAATCATCAGTGGCATATCCTTTAAATATGGAAACATACTTACAGGTTGTGAGTCAGAACAAGCCGGCATTGTAGGTTCAGGAAACAGTCCTCCGTTAAATGCGTTGCACACACATGAATATTTGGGTTGAACTGTTCTGGAACAGTGTTGTAAATACAACTTTACCACTGATTTCCAGTTGTGTCCTCTTTTGGAAGGCCAAACAAAGTAGTTTCGCTTTCACAACGAAACACACAGCGCCTTCACGACATGGCGGCAGCGGCAGCAACAATACTACAGCGAGAATAAAAGTTACGCCTTCTTTCTTTGCGTGAACATTTGGGTGGTGTTATGTTAATCTTACCACACAGTGACGTAGACATGTGGATGCGTGTTTAAACAAGGCATTTTAGGAGGGCGTGGACGAGTCTTAACTTTTATAAAGAATATCTCTTTGGGTTTGAGATTTTAGTCTTTGCAACTTTAGGGATCTTATCTATGCACCAACAGCTTGTAACACTCCAAAGAAAAAAGGAAAACTTGAAATCGCATCATTTGACCCCTTTAAAAATGTTGTTAGTGTAATGAATTAATTTGAATCAGTTGATCCAGTTCACAAAACAAGTCCAAATGATTTACACTCACTGACTCAATGATCCAGTTGCTTAACAGTCCACTTATGACTTCAAGTTCAGTCTGTTCCTCACACAAAGCTATTGTATAGGTTCACAATACTTGGACTACTGCTTTATGGACCACTATATAATACTTTTATAGTGTTTTGCATTTTTTTCAAGATTGAAAGCCCCCCAATCATTGTAATTGCATGAAAAAAAGTACATTCTTTAAAATCTCTCCTTTGTGTACAATGATATTCAGGTTTGAAACAACATAAGGGTGAGTAAAAATTTAATTTTGTTAGAACTGTTCCTTTAAGGGTCACAAGAGCAGTTTGCTAAATCCCCGGAGCTATAAGCCACTGTCAGTGGATAAATGACCTTTCCTAATCAATGCTATTTTGACAGCCATTAGTTTGTCTCATGGAATAAGGGGTGTGACTGAGAAACCAGCCTGACATTTCTTAATTAATAGCATCTGCCATTTAATTACATCACTCTCATTTAACTGCATGGCATGTCAATCATGTGTATTAATAACAAACAGAAAAGTCCATAATCATCATGCCTCCAAACAATGGCCTCATGCAAATCAGTATTAGTTGTATACGGGCTCACAGTAATGGGGCAGATGGGTCAGAAGAGGTGAGACAGACTCAGCAAGCAGAAGTCAAGCACTGGCAGGATGGGAGTTTTGTGATACTGTACCTTGAGGAACGCAGGGCCGGTGTGAGGCAGTGACGGCTGAAACAGTGAAGGATCTAGTGTGTTAGAGATACAGGGCTCTCCTCCATCCTGTTTCCTGAAATGAGAGACACACTTCAGTCTAGCAGTACATGTGCACATACACAAATTCACACCCGTCATTTTTCTTAAAAAGGGTCACAGCAGGGAAAACAGTGCAAAATGCTAATTCTTTGTGGCCTGTCTGTCAATGATTAATTCCCTTAATTTTAACCTTGGTAACTTTCTGTATAATTAAATCACATTAAATTAAAGTTACTTATTCAGGCCTAAAAAAAACAAAAAACAAAAACAGGCGTATTAACTTTTTAAAGGGAGGAAAATGCTTCCTCTATAGCCAAACATAATGTAATGTAATATAGGGAAGAAAAATGCTTTATATATTTTCTATGATCATTTGGCACAAATTAATTAATAATAATATAATATAATAAATATAATATAATATATTATAAATATATATAATAATATATTTTTGAGTTTAAGGACATTTTGTTACTACTTGATGTATAATGTGTCCTTGATGTCCAAAAGCAAATGACAACCACTGCTCTAAATGGTCAAAGGCCATGGGGTCACAGCAGGGGAAGCTTTAGCATTGTGATAGCCTGAGTAATGACAATTGTATCACCTCCGAGTAGGCTTTGCATTTAGATTAGCAGGTTTCTCCGTCTGTGCAAAGCTCAATGGAGTTGAAGAGGTGATGTGCAATATGCGGGGGCTGGTATAATAAATTTTTTCTCAGACTCCTATTGTTTTGACATGAGGCCATGATTAGATTTCCCATTATACTTTAGCTGAGGAGAAACAGATTGTATTACATTGCAGGCTAAATACGGTTCAGGGCGATGTAAGTGAGCTAAAGAATGACCCTGGATGCTCCATAATCAGACAACTGGTGAATTTATTCTTTCCTAAATGTCTTCATAAAAATGTATCCTGACAGAAACTCCACCAAGATAACGGTGATTGCTGCGACACAAATCCTCCATGGTAATTTAGGAAATGGATATGTATATAAAATAATGAGTACAATTAAAGGAAACTGTATGCTAACACACTAACAAAACAGATGCTGCACTTGCACCAAAAAATTACTAAAAAGATTAAACAGGGATTTGAATAAGAATACCTATAGTACAGCACCACTAAGGGATTTTATGCAAATCAGGTAATAGAGCAAATGTGCACATAAAAATAGCGCTGAATTCAATTTGCACAGTGCAATTCACAATCTTTGTGGTCAATAAAATGTGTTAAAATAAAATAAAAAAATTACAATTAAAAATTAAATAAAAAATACAATTAAATGTACCAAGCAAATATGTTTCTAACATTTCAATACACACTTTTTTTCTATTTTAACACAGTGCAGCAGTGTTTCAGTGCATTTAGTATCTGGTAAAAAGGTGGTTGTAACTCTTGACTGAATTTGCCCTTCAGGACCTGTTAGGTGCTTGTATTGCTTTTGGCAAAAAGACTTGTCTGAAGATCCATATCTGGGAAAATCCTTCTTTCTGACATCAAGGAGGGGTTATTAATGTTGAGAACTATTACAAATGTGCACCGATGAAATCTCTGCAGTTTGTAAGAGAAGGTTAAAAGGAGACCTGTGATGAATCTCTCAAACAAAGAGGCAACTTTCTGGTTTGTACTTCTCAGTAGTTCTCATGTCAGTTTCATTGATGCCTATTACGGGTTGCTGTGGGAAATAAACCTACAGCAGCCGCCCCTTTGCTTGCATATTCTAACACCATCCATCAAATCCAGACAGCTACTTTAAAGGTAAATGAGATTTTTAAGACATGGCCATTTGGCTTTTAGCGTTCACATTAATGCATTACCGCAAACCATCATTTGAGGCTTGTTTTAAATTAACCTCCAGATTGCCCTAAAACCCATATATGGGTGTTCATGTGAACTTTTGCCTTTAACTGATCCAGAGATGTCTTGTGGCGTAGATTTCTGCTGTGGATAATGGATGTGATGTAATGCGGGAGTGATCGGCAGTGCTGGAACACAGACCTTAAATGAACCGCAGCTCAGCTCTAAAACTAATGATAACAGAAAAGCTCTATAAACGATGAACATCCTCAGAAAGCTCTACTGTGCTGATATCCTTAATTAAACCATCCTCCGTTAACTGAGCATCCTTTAAATTAACTTCAATGAAAGGATCTTGGAAGTGCATATCCCACTTTAGCTATAAAATTTGAATATTGTAGGCTCAGCATGTGGTGGTGAATTACTGTAATGTAGTGGTAACTTACTGTACCGTTAAACTGACACATAGACCTGGTTGGTTTATTACAGAGTGATTAGAATTCCTATGTACTAATTTTATTCCCACACAGGCAAGAAATTCCCACCGGACTGCTGAGGGAACGCTCTGCATTCACAACCGGGATCATTATTTCACTCCCTACAGCTGAGCAGCCCAGAAACCAATTCCATGCACCAAACAGACAAAATCCTCACTGAAGTCTGCAGGCATCACAGCCCTATGAATCTACACTACTTGAGTACAGCCATGAAATTATGCATAACATTATATAAATCGTTATTAATGCTCAAACACAACCTGTTTTGAAATTCAAAAGTCTTGATAAACATTACATCACGGAGAAATGGTTACTATTGTATTAGTGCCAAAGATTAAATTATGAATTTTCTTATTGATGCAGTTCAGTGTAAGAAAGTTTACTTGGTTATTGACCAACAGTAGAAGTGTTTATAAGTGTTATATATATATATACTGTATATATATATACCTTTTCCATTAATAACACTCACTTAAAATTCATCTTTTAAAAAGTTATAATTAAAAAATGCTAAATATATCTTTTGCCAATTTTAAAAATGAATGTCCATTTTTCATAATATACATCAAGTTAGTATACTATAGTCATACTATAGTTGATGCATAAATTCACTTATTCAATAAAAAATTTATTTTCTTTATTTAAAATTAAGCTTTTAGTATTTTTTTTTCTATTTAGACAAAACAGTATCACATTTAAATACAGACCATGAAAATGACATCAATTTTTAATCATTATTTTAATTAAGAATCGTAATTGTATATAATTATGTTTAATGGTATGACCACAAATTTTAATAGTGGTGCATCAGTCTTACACAAGAGCATCAAGTTAAAGGGTTAGTTCACCCAAAAATGAAAATTAGGCTGCGTTTTACTCACCCCCGAGGCATCCTAGGTGTATATGACTTTCTTCTTTCAGACGAATCCAGTCTGAGTTATATTAAAAATTGTCTTTGATCTTTCAAGTTGTTTAATGCCACTCAGCGGGTGTTGCATTGATTCAGTCCAAAAGAACAATCCATAAAAAAAAGTGTCTCACACGGCTCCGGGAGGTGAACAAAGGCCTTCTGTAGCGAATCGATGAGTTTTTGTAAGAAAAATATCCATATTCAAGGCATTAATGAAAAAAACTCCAGGCAGATGAATTCATAATACACATCTCTCCATCTATAATTTGTATCTTATTAAACACCTGAATTATTAAACATCTGAATTGTCGATTTAATGAAGACATGAAATCATTTTCCTCTCGGCTGCTAATATCTAAAGACTCAAATGAAACCCCAGCCTCTCCCCTGCTTTCCTCTTGAGCGAAGTTCGATTGAGAGTAAATCAGATATTTAAAGTCTGAGATTGAGAAGAGTGCAGTTCCATGTGAAATTAAGTAAACCATTCACTCCTGGGGTTCTGCCACGCAGCAATGTTTCATTAGCATCCCACCTCTGTCTTCAGCGAGTTTGAGTAACCACAGCAGATGCAGGATGAAATGCACAAACAAGGAGGAGAAACTAATGAAATATGAACTACAGTCTCAAATGTGGTGCTGGAGAAAAGTACAAAGCACTAAAAGCTCACAAGCCAATTCCTGAGCGCTGAAGCTCGGAGCACGACTAAAGATTGGTAGGTCACCCGTTAAGAAGTTAACGTGAACGAACGTCATTTATGCTCGCAAACGCACTCATTGCTGTCTTTCCCAGCATCCCTCTATATGTGTTAATGAAGACTCTGCCAATCTGCTCATCTCTAAAAGCATATTCTATGTCACCGTTCATGCGCCGCACACCTTCCAGATGCTCTGGCCGTCCCACCAATCTCACGCCGTATGCCAGACCCACCAAACCCCTTACAACTGTCACACTTCATATTCCTGTACACGTATACAGTGCTATTACTCACTGCGTGTGGACGGACGTAGGATCTCCTCTCTCGTCTTGCAGCTGTGAGCCTCTCAAGTCAGTCGCACACCTGCTAGGAGCATTAATCCTCCCACTATCACTTCATTTATTGTCTGTATCGCTCGCTTGCTCTTACTCTACTGCTCTTTTCCTCTCTCTTCTTTCTTTATGTGTCTCTTACCCTCCCCGTTTGCGCTCTTACGCACCCGTCCCGTCCCCTCCCCCGCTCGCTCAAACACTGAGGGCTGTCCATCTGAGCTGTCTGATGGGGCTGTAATTTGCATTCATCGTGCTTTGCCTTAATTAAACGCACACCTCCCCATCACAGACTGTTGCTCAGGCAACCAGTTCACTAACAAATGATGTCCTATATCCCATTTTAAAACTGTAATCCTATCTTTACATGATTTTTTAAACAAATTTCTCTTTGTCTGTTCCTGACATCCGCTCTTGAGCCTCCAGGGCGTTTATGTATTCAAGAGCTTGTTTCTCTTAAGTTAAGGATCTATTAAAAGCACTTAATGTAAAGGAAGTGGATTAGATGAATGAATGGGAAACCATGGAAACAGTGGTAATTTACTTATAAATACAATATGGAAGTTAAATATGGGAAGTATCTTGACAGAGTGTCCCACTTGTCACATCAGAGGGGTGACGGCACACATGGTCCACAGATAGAACAATTAAAGGGAAATTCTTAATAATTTATTCACTTAAATCCTTTCTTCCATGCAACACACAAAAAAAGATAATGCACGTATAATGTAATGTGTGAATCTAAAATAGGCTATGAAATAATTGATATTTTTTTAATGTTTTTGAAAGAAGACTCTTATGCTC